GGGCGTAACTGGCACACAATTTGCAGTTGCATGAAGGCCCTCCTGGCCGCGACTGTCACCTGCTCTTCGAGCAGGAGTCGTGAGTCCAGGAGAACCAGGGGTGAAATGCTCCTGGTTCGGACTGGATTGCCCAATCCGTTAGCGATGGCGGCAGGTGGTTTGGAGCACCGGTAGCAAAAATCTTCCCCCCCCATGCCCAGCTGAGCCGCGTGATCATCAGAGGCTGTTTTTTTTTTCTTTTAAAAGCATTTTTTTCTACAACCTCTTCGACTGAAGAGGTAGAGAAAATGCTTTTAAAAGTAAAAAAAAAAGTTAGCCACGCCCACCCAGTCACATTTCCCCCCCATCAAGCCACGCCCACAGATTCGGTAGCAACAAATTTTACATTTCACCACTGAGGAGAACCCCCAGAAATGTGCTCCAGATATGATCCCGTGCCTCTAATGCTCTCCATTGTGGAACAGACAATAAAGATCAACTTGAAAATCTAGCTAATCATCTTTATGTATTAAGTGAATCAACATAGGATTTATTCCCACCCCCCTTGTAAGATTAGAAGATAATATTCTTCTAGACCAGAGGTCCCCAACCTCTGGGCTGCAGCCCACTAGTGGGCTGTGATCTGTTTGCCACTGGGTGTGGAAATGCCGGGGGAGCACACACGCACATTCTCACTTGCACAAGCAGCAGGTGAGCGCATGCATGTTTACTCCTTTTGCATGAGCGGTGGGCTCACATTGCACGTTGTTTACGCAAATGGATCTGTATGCATATACACGCTTGCTGGCCACGTGCAAGAGGAACCATTCCTCTCCCCTCGCCGGTCTGCAAAGGCAGAAAGGTTGGGGAATTCTGTTCTAGACAAATTGTACAGATAATTCTTGACCTATACCAGCTGTTTAATGATCATTAGAAGTTACAACACATTTCACATAAAAAAATTATTTATGACCCGTCCTTGAAATTACAACTTGCACTCCATCACATGACTGCTTTTATGTCTGGTTGGAGCATGTGACTGAGATGTGAGTTTTTTTACGGGTTTCTGTCATAAAAACCAATCATAAAATTGAGTGCAGTCCTGTGGTGCCTCAAATTATAACTGCAATGACTTCTGACCAAAATTCTGGACTGCATTGTGGTTGTAAGTCGAGGACAATATATTTTTATGCCTTTTTGCAGGAGACTTTCCTCCCTTAGGATATGAACAAGTGAAAAGAATTCTGACACAACATGTTCTGGAAATGGAAATCAACAAGACTAGCCTCTGCTACCTAGAAGCATTTTTTCTGGTCTTATATTTTCAGACTGGCAAGATACCATTTTCAAAAAATGAAAATAAATAATTGCACACTGAGATATACTTTAACTTATATCTTTGTTACAGCAGTTGTGCAATGAAAGCTTCATCAGATGTGTTGTGGCTCCATTGCCTGAGCCTGGGCTATCGACAGATGCAGACTCTGAGAGTGGGGGAGAGGAGTTGGCAAGGCCTCCCTCTCCAGGACCCTCCTCTCTGGCAATGCCTCCGGAGGACACTGAAGGCCAAGAGATAGGCCCAGAGCCAAGCACGTCCCCGCAGCCACAGGTGGACAGCGACGAAGGAGATAAGTGCTGGCTGGATCCTCGACAGCGGCGCAGGGAGAAGCGTGCGCAGCAGAGGGGAAGGCGTGCCAGAGATTAGCTGAGTCACTGGACCACACCCCACAGGGTATAAATGTGGGTGTGGTGGCCGGTTCAGTTTGTGACGAGCAAAAACTAGAAATAATCCATGATCTCTGCGTTACTGGACTTCTGCCTGCCTTGTCGGACTGCATTTGGACTAATCCTTGTATTGCTGAAACTTTGCCTGCTTTATCAGAATGCTTGCAGTCTAATCTTTGTTTTGTGTGAGTAAAGTCTGAATTGGCAGCTAGCCACTGGGTTGCTGCCAGCTTTATCTTCAAAGACTTTGTCGTGTGGCTTATTAACTCCGGGCCCTCTGTGGGGGTGCGTGTGTGGGATGGGGACAGAACAAGATGCATGGAATATTGTCCTGTGGAATATATGAACATTCCTTTTCTTTACGGTGGAACATCAAGGCGGGTAATGTGGTGCACATAATGCGGGCATAGTTATGTAGTCCAGCCTATGCGTTAATCAATTTTTGAATCTTTAAAGTGCCAGAAAGCTTTGTTGTAGCTGAATTGTACAATAACACCCCCTATATTACATATAATAAGTAATATGGCATCAATCTAGACAATATGCTCCTTTACAAGTCTCTCTAAATGCTCAAATTGATACCATCAAATGATCGTAAGGTATAAGATGGTTCATGCCTTAAAATACTTCTTTGTTACAAGGAATTCAGCAATTTAGAATTTCTTTTTACTGTACCCTAACTAAATACCCCCATAAGAATACGCAACGTTATAAAAGAAAAAAGGAACAAAAACCTACAACCTATGTATGCATGTATTCAGATACATGCATACATACATAAATTTGTATAATAAACCTTTTAATGAAAGGAGGCCATAATTTGTTACAATAATCCATAGCTTATCTATATCTATATATGAGCCATGGTGGCGCAGTGATTAGAATGCAGTGTTGCAGGCTACTTCCGCTGCCTGCCGGCTGCCTGCAGTTTGACAGTTCAAGTCTCACCAGGCTCAAGGTTGACTCAGACTTCCATCCTTCCGAGGTCGGTAAAATGAGGACCCAGATTATTGAGGGCAATATGCTGACTCTGTAAACTGGTTAGAGATGGTTATAAAGCACTGAAGAGGTATATAAGCCTAAGTGCTATTGCTATATTGATCAATTCTGCAGACTGTTAACTAATTGGAGCTGCATGTTTTTCTTTCTAATGCTGAGTGACATATCTGAACTGTAAGTAAATATCTACTTTGTTTATCCAGATGCCAATTCCCATGAGATAGGATAAACTTTAAAATCGTATAAACATCTGAATATATCAAATCTCAAAGTTGAGTTAGTGCAGGTAGTACAGGTAACATCTTTCCTAAATGGAACAGTTGTTGGACACTGTAGAAAAATGTTTAAATAAATTATTAATTGCACTGCTTCCTCAACATAAATATTTACACAGGCCTTTTTTATATAAATGCAGTGATATCATTACTTGTTGAAAAAGATGTAATCTTTAATCTGCCTGTTCTCTAGGGTGATGTGTAGTGAGGATTTCTAAAGGGTACAAAAGGCATTTTTCATTTCTGGCGTTAGGTTTAATTTAATATATGTTGCTAAATAACTTTCATTCCAGAGTTGTAGTTGAATTATATTAATCAGTAATACTGCTGTCTATCAAAATACCCTGAAATATTGACAAGTATCAAATATATATGGTGGGATTATGTTTTCAGCCTATAGACTCTAAACATTAAATATTATTTGAGGATACTAGCTCAAAGGGAAAAACATAAAATCAAGTTTTATGCTTTGTTAACTGAATTCCTTTGAAACTTACTGACCTTAAAATAAAGCTAAAAATTTCATAAATTAAACTAGGTTAAAATAAAACAAATCTTAAAATTAAACTTATAAAAAGTGATAAAAAGATAGATAACTGAGGCTATACTGTTTTCAAGCAAAACGAATAAACTTTGGAATGCCTAGTGGAAAAACACTATATAACACATTTTCCAGACCACAAGAGTGTTCCTTTAAGCAGGGTATATTCCTGGAAAGTCTGGTCTAGACCAAAGGATTTTCTTTAAATATTGTATGTGAAGTTTTTTGTCTAAGGTAGAAGGTAGACGAGGCTGAGGATGATGAAAGTGGTAACAAAGTATGTGACACAAAACCATACAATATATAGACTTACAGGTATGTTTCAAGGTGTCAATAGTCACCTGCATAGCATATGACCTGTCCCTATTGTTTCTGCCCGCCCCATCAGGTCTATTGGGGAGGACATGCTCTGGGTCCCTTCAACCCAACAAAACCACCTTGTTGGATCTAGAAGTCATGCCTTCATTATGGCAGCACCTGCCCTGTGGAATAGCATTCTCCTCTGGAGATGCAGATGACCCTGGCCATGTTAACCTTTGATAAGGCTCTAAAGACCTGTTTTTTCCCAGGTATTTGGGCCAGATGGTTAGGTGAGCTGTTGACGTGTTTTTCCGGTTTGAGACATATTGTATACCTTAGATGTCAAGGACCATGTTGTTTTAATCCTGGTTTGTTGTTGGGAGTCACTGTTGTAAGATGGTTAGCCTTAATAATTGTTTAAAAATAGAAATAAAACAAATGTAGTATTTGGAACACAGCAATTCACTCATATTTAGCCTATTTATAAAATGCTAAGTATTCTAGTAGAAGATGTTAGCAACCCAATAATGGCAAACAATACAGTTATTTAACATCAGAGCATTTTCTTTCAAGAAAACAAACAAATTCTGCATTTGGTATAATTTTAGGATCTTTAATGATGCAATTACTAGGCTATTACACTGATAGCAATTTTGTAGTGCTATTAAGATTCTGTAGATTTGGGTAGTATATAGTAATTTAAGTTTGCAATGTAGCATGCGTTGAGAATTTGATTATTATCATTATTTACCATGTGCATTCATGGAAATAAATGAATGGGTGTTTTTATAGAACATTTTACATGTTTACTGACAATTCTTGTCAGTAAGAATTAAATTACTTTGACTTGCTAACTGGTGCTGTTCCTGTATAGTTCAGTAAAAATGGTTTTGGTGATGGAGCATTGTAGTGTTACCCCAATGAATATTTTATGGTTTGTTAATTGGAAGAACGTAGCTGACAAAAACACCTCTGTTCCTACAGTTTGTAATATATTAATTTGGGTGGTCATTTTCATTATCTTCCCTTGTCATCCTTATTCATGGATTGGATTGCTGTGGAAGGGTATAAGCTAGCATTGTGCCTGGCAACTGTTACCTAGTGACAGCTTCAGCTGTAATAGCCATTGGCTGTGCTTTTGACTGGGACTGAAGGACCGAGTCACCTTCCTGATGGTGAGTTTTTCTGCATCAGCTAAGGATGAAGAGGAGGGGCAGACTTAGGGTGAAAACTGTAATATCATAAGGAAGCATGTAAGGAATAGAAAGAGCACTCTTTCAGCAAACAGGATAGCATCTGTACCTCATTTTGAGAGAAAAGCTAGTGTATTACCAAATACACTTTCTTGTTGCTTCGGGAAGAGAATGCAATCAGTATTAATTTTATAGTAGTTTGGACTGCTTACGGAAGCCTATCACAGGCAACATGTTATGGATGTCATTAAAAACAAGGATTTTCAGCACTTCGTGGTGATAAGGAACATGAGGCGTGAAACTTAGAAAAGGACGTCTTCTATTCCATTGCTGCAGCAGGAGCAGAGAAAATACTTACTCTCCCTCTCATGAAAGGAATTCCACACCGTGGACTATTAAATAGCACAAGTGTGATTCCAGGACTTTAAAAAGGAAAAGGAAAAAAAAAAGCCCTTCACCTGAGCTTTAATATAAAATTGAAGTTACTTTGGATTTTTATTTTCTTAAGACTGGATGATTTGCTTTTCTTTGGATCTTTAATTAAAAATGCATTTGATTTGTATAGAGATAGGTTAGAAAGTAAGACTGCTGCATGTATCGAATGCCTGCTTATTAGTGAGTATTGAAAGAACTTTTGTAACCCATGGATGTGTCATTATTGCAAATGTAATGAATATGTTAATGTTTTGCCACATCATACAAGCCTTTTGGAAGCAGATGGTTATTTAATTACTAAAGAAAATACATACACAGCAACTGAGAAAATGAATCCAGAAAATAAATGGAATAATACTGTACCATGACAGCTTTTCTTGTTAAATCAACATTTCATTAGCTTCTCAGAAAAATGCAGATGAGAGTTAATGATAGCATTGTATTGAGCATATGCAAAAAAATATGGAGATTGCTATAGAGGTGAAAAGTGACTGGGACAGAGCTATGAACTTCACTATAATAATCCTATGTTGTTGCAATTGTAGCCTTATTTCAGAAGTCAAGGATTTCACTTTGTTTTTCCTGACATTAAATGCAAGACAGTTTTGTGTTCTGTGAGAAGCTTGGATTATCTTGCTGACATTTTCACATTAAGGTCGGCAGCGTGTTTCAAACTGAATTGGCTGTTGAAACTCTAACACTATGCCAGTGTGTGCCTTTTCTTTATTGTATTTTATCTTCTTAACTAAACGGAGAAGATCTAATTCATCAAAGGGATGACAGGAGTCTCCATATATCAGTTGCTACTTAACTGTATTTCTTAACACATTACCAAAGACTAATGAAGCTAGTTTGCATTCATGTACTCAGAACAATATCCATACAAATGCAGATTAAGATGATACAAGGAACATTATGATCTGAAAACCAAAAGATATGATATACCAGAATAAACATTTTACTGGATTTCTTAGTCATATTGTTCTTAAACATTATTGTTATTTGGTTTCAAAAATAGTATATGGAGCATTTTTTACCATGGCTTCCTTTTTTTAAATGCCTACCTTCCCCAGGAAAATGTACTTCTAGAATTTTTAACTGCAACATTGTGTATTTCTTTTCTTCCCACCCTTCTATTTTTGTATTTCTGCCTTTCAAAAGTGTAGTTTGAATGATTGGCTTTGTTTAAAAGTGCCTTGTGCTTTGCTGAGAAAGGAAGGAGTACAGGAAGAAGCTGGATAGTGGCCTTTCTGCCTGCTTTCTAGATTTCAGTGCTGACTATTCAGAAGCAATGTGAATATTTACATGGAGAAACTGAGGCACAGAAAAAAATTAGCAGGTGAACAATGGATCGCTAGTAACTGGAATTCTGACTATATTGTCAAATAATACAGACTATGAACCAGTTCACATGGACTGAATGGAAGAATCTGAATATGAATGATAGTAATGAGAATGTATCTGAGCATCTATCCTGCCCTTTTGGATTTGGACATTATAATGCCATTGACATTTGCATCCTTGAGACTATTGTTATTATCTTACTAACAGTTTTAATTATTACTGGTAATTTAACAGTAATTTTTGTCATTCACTGTGCTCCACTTTTGCATCATTATACCACCAGCTACTTTATTCAGACTATGGCATATGCTGATCTTTTTGTTGGGATTAGTTGCTTAATTCCTACCTTTTCATTGCTTCACTATTCTGTAGGTGTTCATGAGTCCTTAACTTGTCAAATTTTTGTGTATGTCATCTCTGTACTGAAAAGTGTTTCTATGGCCTGCCTTGCTTTCATTAGTGTGGATCGCTACCTTGCAATCACAAAACCACTCTCCTATAACCAGTTGGTCACCCCCTGTCGATTGAGGATCTGCATTATTTTGATTTGGCTGTACTCAGGACTTATCTTCCTGCCTTCCTATTTTGGTTGGGGAAAGCCAGGTTATCATGGAGACATTTTTGAATGGTGTGCAGCTTCTTGGCTCACCAACGCCTATTTTACTGGATTTATTGTGTGCTTACTCTATGCTCCAGCTGCCTTTATAATCTGTTTTACATATTTCCACATATTCAAAATTTGCCGGCAGCACACCAAAGAGATAAATGACAGGAGAGCTCGGTTTCCTAGTCATGAAGTAGATACTGCTGCAGAAATTGGACATAGCCCAGATAGCCGCTATGCTATGGTTTTATTTCGTATAACCAGTGTGTTTTATGTGCTCTGGCTGCCCTACATTATATATTTCATGCTAGAGAGCACTAAGGTGCTGGAAAATCCAGCACTCTCTTTTGTAACAACTTGGCTTGCTATTAGCAATAGTTTTTGTAACTGTGTAATATATAGTCTGTCAAATAGTGTTTTTAGGTTGGGACTTTGGAGATTGTCAGAGACAATATGCTCAGTTTGTATATGTAAAAAAGACAGTGTGCTTCAAGAGCCTGTTCCTAGAAAACGGGCTAACTCTTGTTCTATGTAAGGGAGGGGGGAAGAATAGGCAATCATGCACAATCCGATATATAGGCTTTATAATATCTGTATGTTGCCAGCATAAAATTTGAAGAAGTAATATTCATTGTAAACACGAATTATATTTTGCAAGAGTAAGAAAACATTGCTGGAAAGATGATGAGTGGGGTACTAGTAAATGTAAGCAAAGCTTCCAGCAGACTGAACTTAAACCCAGGCTATCTTTAATAACAAAATTTTCACTTACGAATATGTAAACAAAACCTGTGGTAGTAATATAAGTACTGTATGTTATTTTAAAATGCTTATTTGTGGAGGAATACATTTTTTCCCCCTAATGTAATATATAAAAACGAACTAATTTTCTTTTGTTCTTTTGGAGTCTGTGACCCAATTGTTCGGGCACCTTTTTGCTGTTCAGTGCAGAGCATGCATTTAGCATGTATATGAAACTGTTTTAAAATACATTTTGTATTCTGTATCGTGGTTTTCCTAAACTATTATTAAATCATTGTTTAACACTGGAATGAATAATTTTTCAATTGACTGTAAAGACCTTTTTTTTCCTGAAAAAATCCTAGTCAGGTTCTAAAGGCATTAATGCCAAATGCAAGTCAAAGTCTTAGTACTTTGCTATGTAATAGTATGCAAATTCTGAAATTCAGAGAAAAGGCATTTTTATCTAGATTTCTGTAATTAATGTAAGGATATTAAAAATGTTGGGACAGGAACCAACTAAAATATAGCAATGTCTTTTGATTTCTGTAGAACAATTGAGAACACATAATCTCATTTAATTTCACTAAAACCAGTGTGACTTATATAGCTTCATTTTGTATAGGGTTTGCTCCAAAAATATTAGTAAACCATATTAAAAATCTTAGCTGAAGTTGTTATTGAGTTTTTACATGTGGCCCACGTTTTTAATATCAGCATTGTAATTTATTATTTCATGACAGTCCATCCTGTGAAAATCTTTCTGTAACTTTTGCAGTAAAGATGTTGTGCTAATAGTAAAAGAAAAACAAAGTCGGTTTCTTAAATTATACAAGTTTCAGAACTCAATATTTCAGAGAAACGTAGACCAAAGGCCAAAGTCTAATATGTACTGAATAAAGCTCTGCATTTTGTTAATTTTCAATAATTTTACAGGATATTTAAAATGAAAATGCATCTATGAATGTGAAATTATATGTCTGAAAGAAATTGGGAGAGAGAATTTGTTCCTACAGGAGACAGCTTTCAATATCTTTTTGACAATGGTTTTCCTATTGCCAAAGGAGATTCATGGAGTGGAAATAATATTCATGGGTTTAAATTTACTTAAGATGCTTGCTGTATTTAAACCTCAGAACTAAAAGATGGCAAGTAATGTTTTACTTTAGCTTATCTTTGTGATTTTTATGAGTTGAGAATTGTCTGGAGACTAATTAAGTTTTCACTCAATGGCTTCATGTTCAAGTTCCGATATGAAAATGTGATTCCTAGAATCTCCAGGTAGAATTAAGTAGAAACCCCCACCCTTATGTGAGATTAACGTGGGATATACTACAGTCAAATTATTAAAATTGTTAATTTGTTATAATATTATAATCTTAATAAAAAAGTAATGTTTTTCTTAACTTTTTAGTCTCTTCACATACAACCAAATGTTGGAAAAGAATTGTGTAGAGTTTTAGAACTCTTGTCAGTCTGAGTGCATATCAGCAGGATAACTTTCCCAAAGAGAAGAAAGCAGCATTAAATTTGACACTGTAGAGAGCCCAGCAGAAGGAGGATCAGGTTTAAAAATGGGAGAGTTCCAGCTGAAAGAAGTGGGGGAGGAAACCTCCAGAAAAACCCCTGGTTCATTCAGGGCAGCAGCTTGATATATGGCTAAGTGTCTTAAGCCCTCTCCAGTCACATGACCAAAGTGGAGCGGCTGTTGAAAGATTGGAAAGAATCCGTTAAGACATTCCCTGTAGGATTTCTCCCTAACACCATTTCTACATGATCCCCTTCTTGAGGTATTCATTGAAAAGAGGGGCTTGATCAAGTATCTTCAGCTGTTTGTGCCATCATTGCTTTAATATACGTTTACTGGTCAGTTTTGTTTCTCTCTCTTTATTCTTTTCTAATCCAACAGAATGTTGGAAAGAAAAGCTCAGGACTTTGCTTTCAGCTGGGTATATCTTTGAAAAGCACAGAACCAAATTTGGTCTGGTAGAGGAAGTCTGTAAATGAGATAGATCCAGCCAGGCGTTACAGAGAAAAAATATTCCAGAGGAATAACCACCAATGTAGCCCTGCAAAGAAGGTGTTATGTTGCTTGCTATTTCACACAGCTGCAGCATAAGGGGAGAGCAGAGATGCATCATGCATCCCCCATAGATTCAACAGGTTAATTCTTTATCCGAAGGAAAATACAGTAATTGTATCTTCTATGGCTATAGGTAGAAAAGAAAGAATTCTTGAAACCATGTTCTGCAGGCTTTGCTAATTTATTAACTCTAGAGCAGGAGTGTCAAACTTTCATTGAGGGCCGCATCAGGCTTGTGTTTGACCTCTGGGGGCTGGAGTGGCTGTAGCCAGGGTGGGCATGGCCAACATGATGTCACTTGTGTTGGGCACCTGTGGTGGCCTGAGTGCTCTGCTAGTGAAAAGGGCCCCCCGAGTTCTGTTTTCGGCTGTGATGGCCTCCTGCAACCCTCTGCCAGTGAAAATGGAGCTCAGGAGGGACACACACAGCCCTTGTGAGCTCTATTTTTGCTGCCAGAGGCACCATGGGCCAGTCCTTCACTATTTCCAGGGCGGCCCCGCGGGCCAGATCTAAGCACCCCTTGGGTTGGATCTGGCCCCCGGGCCTTGAGTTTGACACCCCTGCTCTAGAGAATGATGGAAATTGTTAAACACTGCCAGGATAATTAGTAACTAATTGAACTTCTTCACTCTTAATGTTATTTTATGAAAATAGTGTTGCTCTATTCAAGAACATGATAACTAGCTTGTAGATAAACTTCATTTAAATAATTTATATTAACAAAATAGATTAAAATGTGATATGTTCTATAGAATTATAAATATCTTTTCTATAAACTAGAACCTTTGTAATATCAGTTCTGTTCAGACAGATAAACACAGATTGCTAGTATAAGTCCTGAAACATCTATAGAAGAAGCTGTAATAAAGTTTCTAGCTGCCAGTTTCTATTATTGATGCCTTCAGAATGAGAGGAAATAGGAGGAAAATAGCAACCTCCATTGTGTATTGATAGAGCATTTCTTCCAATTACCACTTGAGGCTACCAGAGAGAAAGAAATCAGCAGATCTTTATTGTGCTTCAATTCCATTATCTACTAAATTACTACCTGCTGAACTTTTAGCTGTTTTTTTCCCTCTCTTCTTTTTCTTCGCAATTATTAATCTGTAAGCCTGTGGGCAGGAATTACCTTCTTTCTGATCTTTGTAAGGTAGCCTAGGAACTCTTTGGGTTGAAGACTAGGATAGGATAAAAATGCTTTTGCTGTTACAAAAAAAATATATCTGCCTAGCATTCCCAATATTAATTTTTGGAATTTTTATTTAAAATATTGTGAGCAAATATTACCACTATTTCAGTTATCCTGTGGCTTGAATTATAGTCACAAGAAAGCAGGAAGTTTTATTAATTCTAGAAATGCTCTAAAATATTGAGGCTTAATTTTTTACCAACAAGCAACTTGTTCCTGCTTGAAAAATGATGCATCTTGAAAAGGAGGTGAGGGGTTAAAAGGGTAAACTTACGGACATCTTTTTAGACATTTTATTGTACTTCCAGTTAACCAGGCAAGAAGTATTTTGAGGGAAAAAGAAGAAGAAAGATGTAAGACTGAAATTTTCTGAGAAGCTTTTGAAGAAGGTAGCTTTTGAAGAATATCTCTGAATTTGTTAACATAATTAAGGTTTGGGAGTTATTTAGAGAGAAATAACACATTGGACATATGTGTGCTGATACTCTGCTGATACTTAACAGCTGAAGTTTATTTTTTTTAAGTGTTGTTAAAAAATAAGTTTTCTGTGCTTGCTGTGGAAATTAAATTCAGAGGTTCTTCTCCTCCTCCCCACCAAATCTTTTTGATTCTTAGGCCATATAGCTTAGATTGCAAGAGGAAGAGGAAGAAATCTTGAATGACAGGAAAAATATCAGATAATATACTGAAGCTTAGGACTTCTTGCAAAGATCCAAACAGATGTCATCTTAAAATAACTACCATGAATTAACAGTATCACATGTCCGTCTCAGGGCAAAAGGGAATCCCAAACTGAGCCTTCAGTTCTGATATTTTTTGGGATGATGCTTCTTTTCAAACAGTGAAAATTAGTTTAAATCCTCAGCTAGGAAATGTGAGGAGAAGTGTTAGAAATCCCTTGAAAAGTATTTTTTTTAATGAAGGTAATAGGCAAACTAATTGAAGGATGTTACATATACAGTAAAGCTAAATTTATTATTCTGTCTGAACAATTTAAAGGATTGGTTAGTAACCTGAGGACCCTGCATAGCAGTTTGCCATAAATAAGTTTTTAAAGACTTCCTGTGGCTCCGCGTTCCCCGAATGGACGATCCTTCAGGAGCTCCAGCCCCGTGATTCCGTTTGCTGCTAGAACAGCGAAAATCAGCTGTTCTAGCGGCTCAAAACTCTCCCCCAGGGAAAAAGGGGGAGAGAAGAGCAGAAGGGTCTGGGTAGAGCTCCCCTAGACCCCCAGGCTTTTTTTTTTTTTAAGCCTGGGGTTTGCAGGGTGAGAGCTCCCTGAAAGCCCTTCAGTGCTCCGGATCCGGGACGATTCTGCTTTAAGCAGAACAAGGGGTCGCGACCACACCAGCAGCACAATTTTAAGGATTATGAGAAAATTCGAATCTGGATGCTGGCAGAGCAAATCAGGAGAACAGGAAATGCAAGTATTAAACTTTAACTCCGTTTAAAAGAAAAAGGAAAAAGATGGCGCTTAAGGGCGTTTAAAACAAAAGTTACAAGTGAAAGTTATCGTTAAAGCTGCAACATTGTAAACGTGGCAAGAAAAAGATTTAAAGTGCTAGTGAAATGAAAAAGACTATGGTATTGATCTTAACTACTCTATACTTCTAAATTGTGTGGAAAATTATTGGATTTATTGACCTGATAGCTGAACAAATTTGAAAATAATTGGACTTTGGAAGAAAAAGAAAATGACTGGCACCTTTGAAAGTGCTGAAGGACTATTATTACACATACCAGCAAATGCACAAATAAGAGCTATAATACATGAAATTTTTGAGTCACAAACCACTGCTTTACTGGCACCTACCCTATGGAACAATCTACCCCCAGAGATACGAGTGATCTCCGACCTCCGGACTTTTCGTCGGGCCCTAAAAACTTACTTTTTTCAGTTAGCCGGTCTGTCTTGATTTTAGGGTTAGTTTTAAAATTTTGATATTGATTTTAAATTGACAAGTTTTAAATTACGGGCCAAATTTATAAATTATTTTAACTCTATTTTTAACTGTAATGTTATGTATAGATGTT